GCAAGACAGAGAGGATGACAATGCGGAGGAAATCCAGGAAGAACAAGTAGTTCTTTGTAGGCCACTTCTTTCGAGGTGAGGGGACACTGTAAGGACAGTGGCACGATCCATCAGATGTGTGCTGTTAAAGAATCCCACTATTCTGAAAACAATCTGTAGAGGTCAGAGGAGAACTAAGAAGGCCAGGCTACTGAAATAACAAAACAATCCCTGGAAGAGACAGTGGCTATTCAAAGCAGCAAGATGTGTGGCCAGATCTGGAGTGTGATTTGGGATGATTTAAAACAGAGCTGGCAGGATTTGTTGGAGGACTGTGTGAGGGATATGGAAGGAGCTTGATTCCAAAGGGGGCTGAACTGTTTGAAGTCTGAATAAGCAGAGGCTGGTATTGCCAACAACTGAGCAGTGGGAGGAGGTAGGTGTTGAGTGTTGGTTACGTGGAGGGTGAGATCTTGAGATGCCTCCTGGATATCCAAGTGGGGATGCCAAGCAGCAGCTTGTTGTGTGTCTAGAGTTGAGAAAGAGGCCTGAACTGGGGATAGAAATTTGGCAGTAGTCAGCTTATGGATGGCATTTAAAAAAAAACAAAAAACAAAAACCTAAGGGACAGGGATTTGTCTTTCTCAATAGCTCCGTTTCTTTCGCTTGGTGTTTAGAAGTGATTTATCAAATTTAAACACACCTAGAAGTGCCAAATAATGGGTATTTGCCAGATCTCAGCATGGATGGGGACTTGTACCTGCCTGGGTTGGCAAGGGAATGAAGAAAAAGCTGGGTGGACAGGGCACTGGGACAGAGCAGCCCCAGCCCCCTGGAAGCTCAGTGTGTTTATTGTATACAGTTGAACAGGGAGGCTAGAGTGTTGTGCACAGCTGAACAGGGAGGTGGGGTAGACACATTCAGACAGACAGGGAGGACAGGGTTCATGGTGTAGAGCTGGATCAAGCAGACAGGTTTAGCTGGCCTAAGTAGGAGCAGCCTGTAAGGGAGCAGTCTTCAGGCTGTAAATACTCTGGGGAGAAAGCTACAGCAGACAATTTTCTGCAAACACTGTGAACATCTGCACTTGGTTCCTGGAGGATGGCATGGTCATCCCTCTGAGCCTCACCCAAAGAATGCTTTTTCCCACAGGTCCTTGACAAGACCTTACCCCTGTGAATAACACACATTCACTTAGGACTTCACTCACTCAGGACTTTCTCCACTCCCTACAGGTACCCACATCTCTACCAAGAAAATAGGACCAAATGAATCCCAGACTGTCTGGGCAGTTCAAAGATGCAGACCTATCAGGCTGTGAAGGACGATGCAATACATGAAGCTGCCAGTGAATTTGTCTATCACTTGTCATCGTGGGAAGGGACTTTTGTTTTAGTGGGTGGGCACGCTCCTTTGGGACCAGTGTTAAATTTCTGAGAACACTAGAGAAAAGAACTGTCACCCATGTCTTATACTCAGCCTTTCTCCAAGAGTGTTTTCACATGTGTTTTACACAAGCTCTGAGTAGATAATGGAAGACTTATGGAGGGAGGCAGACATATAAGCTGGAGATGCTGCTTGGCGTGAGGTCACTTGCTCACAGCTCTGATTCGGTGGGAATGTCCAGAGATGGAGCAGTGGTGGGAGGGTAGATAGAGGATCTTTGCTGGCCGCAGAACATTGATGTGGACTATCCAGGAACCAGATGTTCACAGACTACTGAAAATGTAGATGCCAGGAGCTCTGTGGAGAATTCTGTTCTCATTGAGAAAAGGCAAGGCTGTGGTCAGGGCTCGGGAGAGAGAAAGGAAGGGGAACTGCCTTGTGATTATTTACTACATGCATAGTATCGTCTTTAGAAGTTAGAGATTCATAGTGGACACCGTGGCTTTTAATTCTCCCAGTATACTTCATAGTGTCTTCTTTTTCATAAATGAGACGTAGAAGACACTCTACCAGTCAGTGTGGAGAGAGCTAAAGCTCAAATTCAGGTTTGCCTCCAATAGCAAACAAATATTCAGTGTTTCAGTGTTTTGGAACCAGGAACTGGAGCCAAAGTATAATGGAGTATATATAGTAGAGCCCATACCAGCCAGATCTAGATGCATTAGAATTAATTACTGCCTCTATGATTGCAGGGACATAGAGTGAGGGCAAGTAGGGAGATAAGGGTCCCAGGAGTCACTGCCGATTAGGTGTCACTGTGAAGGGCACTTAGGACAATGTTAAAATCTGATGAGGAATAAGGGTATCCTGACAGGAAGGAACTTTCCCCAAAACCTCCTAAAGCCAGGGGACACAAAAATGATTGAAAAAAATTGATCTTGGTCAAGCGAGCCGATTCTATAATCTCAGCTCCATGGGAAAGTGAGGGAGCATCATAAATTCAAGGGTAATCTGGGAACCTTAATGAGATCCTGTGTCAGAATGTAAACAGAAGGCTGGCGGTATGGCTTGGT